CGCGTACGTCTCCTGAAGCTTCCTGATTTGTGCGCCCAGGGGCCCTGCGTCCTCACCGCGCACGCTGGTAATCCGATCGCCTGGAAGCCTCTGGACCGTTATGAGAAGACTCTCCACCTTCTCAGAAGCCCACCTTCCTTGCGCCACCCCCTCGCGGGCGCCGCAAAAGACGCACCCCGAGATCCGACGTCTCGAAAACTGCAACAACGGACCACATCTTTCTGCGGCACTTTCAGAGCCGGATGGTTTTTTGTTCGGTGTGCGCGGGGGCCGATGCGCCGTCTGGGCGCCTGGCTTCTCTGTCTGTCTGTTTGCCTGGGACCCGAGACAAGGCAAACGCGGCCGTCGTCAAACAAATGCGACGCCACGATCTCACGGCACGTGTACCAGATGCTGGCCGGGCCCAGCCCCGGGGGCCCACAATCGCACTGAGCGCACTTGCTTGGTGGCGCCCAGAAGGGGGTGGCGCAAGGGGGGCGGGCTACTGAGAAGCCTCCCAGCAGCCTCCCGAGCCTTCTAAGAGGCCCCTCCGCCTTCTCAGAAGTCCTACCCGTGGCGCCGCCATAGATCCTGGCCAGAGGCCCGCGATCTCGGCGTGCATGTCGAAGACGCCCGCGGCGGGTCCGCGCCGCCCTCCTCGGAAGGCCCACCCCCCTCGCGCCAAGCCCCCCCGTGTCGGAGGGAGGAGGAGCGACACCAGCATCACCAGGGGGCCCACCTCCAGCGAGGAGGCCCACGAGGCCTCCCCGAGCCCCGGAGGCTGGGGAGGTCTCGAGCGAGGGGGGGGGGGCCGCACCGCCAGGGAGAGCCCCCTTGCCTCCTCGCGTCTCCTCGCCCCGGTGGTGTGGGTGTCGCCGCCCCTGGCTCCTGCCCTGTGGGCGCCGCCAGAGGGCCTGGCCGGGCCCACGCCCCCAACAGGGGGCCCGCGACTGGCGTGCGCGAGCGGCAGACGCCCGCGGCGCCCGCGGGGGCCACGGCCGCCCCCCGCGGGCCGTGCGGCGGAGGGCGGGGCGTTCCGCCGCGGAGGCCTGCGCGGCGGGCGCGGCCGAGCAGGTCGGCTCCCCGGGGGGCGCCCGCCGGGGGCCTCTCGCGGGGCCTTCGTGGGGCCCGCTTCGCGGGGCCTTCGTGCGGCCTCTTCGCGGGGCCTTCTCCTGCTCCTGAGGAGGGGCAGGGGCGAGAGGAGCGCCGGTATCCGCAGCCGCCGCGCGCCTTGAATGGCGTTGGCGGTGGGCCGTGGCCCATCCGTTGATGAGGAAGACGTTCCAGAGGGAGAAGAAGAGGCGTAAACATAATTGCTTGGAGGTCCGCACGGATCTCTCACAACGGCGCTGGGCCCCCGTGGCGGCGCCTCTGGCGCCACCCTGGCGCGCTTCGCGCGCCAGTGGGGGGGGTCTATCGCCGATGCGAGAAATCCGCGCGGACCTTCGCGAAATTATGTCCATGCAGTTTTTTGATGATCTCTTCTCGGGGGCCTCGCGGGGCCTTCGTGGGCCATCTGATTCCAGGGGCCCTCAAAAGGTGCGGTGACCGCATCGTGTGACAGGAGTCAGCGCGGATTCGGGGTGACCGCGCGGTTTTGGGACTTGGGCCGGTCTCCGAGAGTGTCTAGGGAAACGGGGGCCTCCACGGTCCCATCACCGTGCGGTGGCGGACCGTGCGGTGAGGTGAGGTCGTTGGGGATTTCGAGGTCACCGCACGGTCTGTCACTGCACCGGTTTGGGACCCCATACTTTCGGCCGCCTTGGGGCCGTCTTGGGGGCTGGGCGGCTTTGGGATACCGGGACGGCGTAAAGCCTGAAAAGACTCATGGTCTCTTCGGGACCTCCTGAAGTCTCTTTTGGACCGATCTCGGGTAGTCTTGGGGACCTTTTGAGCCGTCTTGGGTCATCTTGGGGCCATCTTTGGCGAACTTCGGGCCATCTTCTTGAAGGAGTGCGTATTGTGACCGTCTCGGAGGCCATCTTGGCACATCTTCACCGTCTTGGAGCCCCCCTTGGAGCCATCTTAGGCGGAACAGCCGATGGGGGTCCTCCTTTATGGTGGGCTCCAGGTGGCACGCCAGTCGCGCGGCAGACCACCGGGGACCTATGAAGGGCCAGACAGAGCAAGAAAGTTCGGCATGCCGAGCACTCACATCTTTTCGTCGCTCATTTGAGATCGAGGGGGGCTGCGGATCTAGCGGCCTTCGGCCCATCCCGCCACTTTGCCAGGGTCGTGAAAAGAGGCCAGTCAGATGCCTCGTAAGGCTTCTCGGGGCGGCTCAGGAGACCCTTGGAGGCTCCTGCGGGGTCCCTCCGAGTGGGGGCCTCTTGGGGGCTCCTTTGGGGGAGGGCGGTCTTGAGGGTCGTGTGGGAGGTGGATGGCTGCAACTGTCAGTCCGAATTTTCCCTCTTGGGCCCCTCTCGGCGCCGCTCGGGTGCCACTCGGGGGCCTCGGGGGCCCTCTTGGGAGGGTCTTGGGGGCCCCTTGGGTGGTCTCGGACGCTCCTGCGACTGAGAAGGCTGGTTTGGGAGAGCCATACAGGCTCGGCGGTTTTGAATGACTTAAGCTTTTTGAGCTGATCCATAGAGTTTCACGACGGCCCAATCGATCTCCAAGAGGGCTCCAGAACGGTCTTCCGAGACCGTCTCAGAACACGCGGGATTCGTGGACTTTCAGACACGCTCCCGAGGTGTATGAACAGTTCACGTGCAGAATCCCAGGAGTGGACAGACGTTCCGTGAATTTGTGGTTCGGGCTTGCCAAATCGTCCCTCAAGGTTCAATGTTGAGGACTCGAAGTGTCTTGGGATAAGCCACGCAGTGCCTGTGGAACGGTGGCGGGTATGCCTCCCCCGCCGGGCCATGAGGGCGTGTGCACCGATCTTGTGCTCAGGATGAGCCTGGCCAGGACCGGTGCATTGGCACCCGTGGTTCACTTCCCCCTGGAGGAGACCGAGAAGCGCATCTTCGACGTCGCGGACGGCGTGCAGGACGGGCGGAGGGAGGAGGCGCACGAGGGGGCGCGGGATGAGGTCGCGTAGGCGGGAGGTAATCACGATCATGATATTCATCAGGACGACCGTGGGAGTGATGATGGTGCGGGCGCTGCTTGGTGGTGGTGATGCCGATTGCAATGATGCTGCTGGTGATGATGAGGATGCATATTGTGCTGCTGCTGGTGGTGGTGCTGCTGCTGCGGCTGATGATGATGATGATGATGCTGATGATGATGATGATGATGATGATGCTGATACTGATGATGCTGCTGATGCTGCTGCTGATGCTGCTGATGATGCTGATGACGCGATCATGCTGATTATTGCGATTGTGGTGATGGCGATGATGATGGTGATGGTGATGTCGGCGGCGACACCGCCGCCGGCCACGTCGCCGCCGCCGCTGATACTAGAACTCTACTGGCGGCAATATTCCAGCGACGACGGTGGCAATTACAATGACAATGATGATGTTGATGATGATGCTGCTGATGATGATGAGGATGCTGATGATGGTGACGATGCTGATGATGATGCTGATGATGATGATGCTGATGATGATGATGATGATGATGATGATCAGGATGATGAAGATGCTGATGATGCTGCTGATGATTATGATGCTGATGCTGATGATGATGCTGCTGCTGATGATGATGATCATGCTGACCATGATGCTGATGATGATGCTCCTGCTGATGCTGATGATGATGATGATGCTGATCATGCTGACCATGATGATGCTGATGATGATGCTGATGATGATGATGACGATGCAGATGTTCATGATACTGCTGATACTGATGATGCTGGTGATGATGGTGATGATGATGCTGATACTGATTACGATGATGATGCTGCTGATGCTGCCGATGCTTCTGATGATGCTGATGCTGATGATGATGAGGCTGACCATGATGATATGATGACGATGCTGCTGGTGATGACGCTGATGTTTGTGATGATTCTGATGATGATGATACTGATGCTGTTGATGATGATGCTGATGCTGATGGTGATAATCATGTTGACCATCATGATGATGACGGTGCTGTCGCTGATGCTGACGATGCTGATGTTGATGATGCTGCTGATACTGATGAGGGCGATGCTGATGATGATGATGATGCTGCTGATGCTGCTGATGATGATGATGATGACGATGATGATGATGATGCTGCTGCTGCTGATGCTGATGAGGATTCCGATGATGCTGATGCTGTTGATGATGCTCATGCTGATGCTGATGCTGATGCTGATGCTGATGCTGATGATGATGATGCTGATGCTGATGCTGATGCTGATGCTGCTGATGATGATGCTGATGATGCTGCTGCTGCTGATGATGATGATGCTGATGATGATGATGACGATGATGATGATGATGATGATGATGATGATGATGATGATGATGATGATGCTGTTTATATAGGCGTACACCACATCTGCATATAAACTATTATGCCTCCAGGACTGCATTTCACGAGGCTTGTCCGAATCATGACACGGCGCTCGACATTGTTCCTGTTGATTCGTTGCTGTTCTCGTACCTCTTGGTGCTCTTTTGTGGCCTTTTGCTGGCATCTTGGCTTGTTAGCAGGCCATATCTGGCCGCCTCGAGGCATCTTGGGGCAAGTTTTGGGGCCTCTTGGGGGCCTTGGGGGCTTCTTGGCGGCCTTTGAGGTTCTCTTGGGGGTCCCTCGGGGCCTCAAGGCTCGAAGAGGTGCCCTCTGGACTCCGTCTTGGAGCCGTCTGGGGGCCCTCTTGGGCTGTCTTCTGGGCTTCGTGGGCTGTTGTCGGACCCTCTTCGACCCTTCTTGGGGGCCTCTTTGGCCGTCTGGGGGCGATATTGAAGGTTTCTTTGCCCGTCTGGGACGTTGTGAAAACTGCACAGGCGAGCATGCGAAACAGGTTTGTTTTCCTGAGGGAATGTGACGATTTTTGTTTCTTGGGACCCTCTTGGGGCGCATCTTGGGGCCTTTTGGGGCGTCTTGGCAGTTTCGGGGGCCGCCTGGAGGCCATCGTGGGCGTCCAGGGGCGATACTTCGGCGACTCGTGGCCCCCTGGGACCGTCTGGGGAGCGTTTGGGTGCCTTCTTGGCCAGTTTTGGAGCCCTCCGCTCCCCCGTGACGCGTTCGGTCCGGGGTCGCGCTCGGCCAAGGGGGGGTGGGGTCAAATTGCTGGTTTGGGGTCCCTGGGGGGGGATTATGGGCGGGGGATCATCTCACACGCCTAGAGACCCACAAGGGGTCGGCGGATTACGATGGTGATGATGATGATGATGATGATGATGATGATGATGATGATGATGATGCTGCTGATGCTGATGCTGATGATGCTGATGATGCTGATGATGATGATGCTGCTGCTGATGCTGATGCTGATGATGCTGATGATGCTGATGATGCTGATGCTGATGCTGATGCTGATGCTGATGCTGATGCTGATGATGATGCTGCGGATGCTGATGATATGATGATGCTGATGATGGTGCTGATGCTGATGCTGATGATGATGCTGCTGACGATGATACGATGGTGACGATGATGATGGTGATGATGCTGCTGATGATGATATGATGGTGACGATGATGATGATGGCGATGATGCTGCTGATGATTATGGTGATGATTTGACGATGGCGATGATGATGCTGCTGATGATGCTGATGATGCTGATGCTGATCATCTGATGATGACGATGATGGGGATGTTGATGATTGTGGTGATGCCGATGACGATCATGATGATGCTGCTGATCATGATACTGATGAGGATGAAGAGGTGACGATGCTGATGCTGCACATGCTGATGATCAAGATGATGATGCTGATGCTGATCATGATGATGATGATGATGATGATGATGATGATGATGATGATGACGCTGATGACGCTGATGATGACGATGCTGATGTTGATGATGCTGTTGATACTGATGTTGATGATGCTGATGATGATTACGATGATGGCGCTGATGATGATGCCGATGATGCTGCTGATGCTGATGCTTATGCTGCTGATGATGATGACGATGATATGAGGATGACGATGATGATGATGATGGTGATGATGATGATGACGATGATGATGATGATGATGATAGTGATGATGACGATGATGATTATGATGCTGCTGATGATGATGGTGGTGGTGGTGATGATGATGGTGATGATGCTTCATGATGATGATGATGATGATGATGATGATGATGATGATGATGATGATGATGATCATGATGATGATGATGATGATGATGATGATGATGGTGATGATGATGATGATGATGATCATGATGATGATGATGATGATGATGATGATGATGATGATGATGTTGCTGCTGATGATAATGACGATGTTGATGATGGAGGATGATGGTCAGGAGGAGGAGGCGGAGGAGGAGGAGGTGGAGGAGGAGCCCGTCGCTGGCGTGCAGGACGTCGTGGAGCTCAACGTTGGTGGGAAGCTGATCTGCACCAGCCGCCAGGTGCTCTGCAGCGCCACGGGCTCCATGCTCGCCGGCCTGTTCTCGGGAAACTTCGACGGGGGCCACAAGCGCGACAAGGATCGCGCGGGATGATGAGCAGGAGCAGGGGATGATGACACTGATGGTGGTGCAGGTGGTGCTGACGATGGCGATGGTGATGATGATACGGGCGATACTGATGATAGTCATGATAATGATGACGACGATGCTGATGCTGATGAGGATGATTATGCTGATGCTGCTGATGATGATGTTGATAGTGGTGGTGATGATTGTTGCTGATGCTGCTTCTCATGATCGTGGTGGTGACGTTGATGCTGCTGATGATATGATGACGATGGTGATAATTGCCATTCTGCTGAAGCTGAGGCTTATGATGTGCATGAGGACGACGACGACGATGGCGACGACGACGATGTCATGATGATGATGCTGGTGGCGGCGGCGATGATTATGACGACCAGGACGATGACGACGCCGATGATGATGATGATGACGATGTCGACGATGATACTGATGATGATGATGATGATGATGATGATGATGATGATGATGATGATGATGATGATGCTGATGGTTATGTTGCTGATGAGGCTGATGATAATTCGGACACTGATTATCATGATGATTCTCCTGCTGCTGCTGATGATGATGCTGATGATGGTAATGATGACGATGATGCCGCCGCTGCTGACGATGATGATGATAGTGATGATGCTGCTACTGATGGTGATGATTATCTGCTGATTTTGCTGATGCAACGATGATTATGAGGATAGTGATGCTGGTGCTTCTGATGCTGCTGATGCTTATACTCATGATGCTGGTGCTGCTGATGCTGGTGGTGATGATGATGATTCTGCAACTAATGATGCTGATGACACTGATGATGTTGATGCTGATCATGACGATGCTGATGCGGATTCTGATGATGATGATGGTGATGGTGATGGTGATGCCAGCTCGGTGATTGATCGTGATCGTACTAATCATGTGTTTGCTTCTGATGATGATGCTGTTGATTACGATGGTGAGAATGATCATGTGATTGATGATGCTGATGCTGATGCTGATGTTGATGATGAGGATGCTGAGGTTTATGCTTATTATGATGATGACGACGCTGCTGATGATGCTGATGATGCTGTTGATTATGATGCTGATGTGTATCCTTCTGCGGGAGATGATGGTGCTGATGATGATGCTGCCGCTCATACTGATGATGCGGATGATACTGCTGGTGATGATTGTGATGCTGATGATGATGATGATGATGATGATGATGATGGTGGTGGTGGTTGCGATGCTGATGCTGCTGCTGATGCTGCTGCTGATGATGATGATGAGGATGATGACCATGATGACGATGCTGATTAGTTCCTGTTTACGATCACTGGGATTCTGGTGTTAACGATGATGGTGACAACGATTATGGTTGTTTGTGGTTATGTTGATGATTACGCCCTTGCGCAGTCGAAGTCGCACCAACGGTCCAACGGGGGCATGGTGATGGTGATGATGATAAGGAGGATGCGGACGGTGATACAGATGAGTAAGAGGATGCTGCTTGTGATGCGGAGAAAGAGGTTGGAACGCATGAAGATGAGACGAAGGTGGAGGAGGCTGAAGGGAATCAGGATGATGAGGAGGGCACAAAGGATGACGAGGTTGATCACGAGGAGGAGGGGGATAGGCAGGGGAGCGGAACAGGCGCGGATGAAGAGGATGAAGAGGATGACGATGATGATGATGATGATGATGCTGCTGCTGCTGATGATGCTGATTATGATGATGATGATGATGATGATGATGATGATGATGATGATGATGATGATGATGCTGATGATGCTGATGATGCTGATGATGCTGATGATTATGATGATGATGATGATGATGATGATGATGATGATGATGATGATGATGATGATGATGATGATGATGATGAGATGAGGAGGAGGAGGAGAGGAGGAAGGAGATGGGAGGAGGGGAGAGGAGGAGGAGGAGGGGGAGGTTGAGGAGGAAGAGGAGGATGCAGATGAGGAGGAGGAGGAGGAAGAGGAGGAGGAGGAGGAGGAGATTGAGTCGGAAGAGGATGATGATGAGGAGGAGGAGGAGGCCTGGGTCAAGCGCGACGAGGACGGCAGGGTGTTCCTTGACGTCGACCCGCCCATCTTCTCGAAGGTGCTCTCCCACCTGCGGCTGCGGCGCCTCGCAAGCCCGGAGTGCCCCGCGCCACTCCCGCACGTGCCGGACGAGATGCGGCCCGAGTACGACATGGTGGTGAAGTATCCAGCCGTGCTGCCGCGCATGTCCGACACCGCGCTCCCTGAGGGCGAGGCGCTGGGGAGTTTCCCCGAGATCCTGGCTTCGCGTTTTTCCAGAGCGGCCGATTCTGTCATGTGTCAGGCCCAGGTGCATTGACGGATCGATACGGCTCGAGAGGGCTGCAAATAGATTTGGGTCCAGGGCTCCAGTCGAGTGGTATTGCAACATAGCATTTTTGCCGTGACGTTGGATCTCGGTTCAGGGCGGGGTCTACACATCTCCACCGCCCCTAATCATGTCTCTATGCCTCCCAAGTGGAAGTCCGAGTGGACGGTGTCGGAGGAGATCGCTCCAAATCGCCGATGCATCGGTTGTGCGGCTCGACCTGGAGCCTGATTTTATCCGTAAGGGCTTCGCCCCCTGCCGCCGGCCCCCTCTCTCGGAGAATGGGCCATGGAAGAGCTCAGTCATGAGACCTTGGCGCTGTCGTGAAGCAGTATCGAAACTTCATGCGAAGCCGATTCGCAATCAGCAAAACCAACTGATCACAAGAGGGGTTACCACACCTGGCGATTGGTAAGACGTGTATGGTTTCCGGGCTTGGTTACCACACCTTGCGATTAAAGAGGGCCGAGGGAGTTCTCGCAGTTTGGGTTACCACGCCTTGCGATGGATGTGCGTGAAGGGTGGCACCGAATTTCAGAAATGTCGCAAATCCCATGTGTTTTTGACCCTGACCCCGCGGATCTGCATAAGGGGTGGCGCCGAATTTCACAAATGTAGCAAATCCCTTGTGTTTTTGGACCCTGACCCCGCGGATCTGCGTGAGGGGTGGCACCGAATTTCAGAAATGTGGCAAATCCCTTGTGTTTTTGGACCCTGACCCCGCGGATCTGCGTGAGGGGTGGCACCGAATTTCAGAAATGTGGCAAATCCCTTGTGTTTTTGGACCCTGACCCTGCGGATCTGCGTGAGGGGTGGCACCGAATTTCAGAAATGTGGCAAATCTCATGTGTTTTTGGACCCTGACCCCGCGGATCTGCATGAGGGGTGGCACCGAATTTCAGAAATGTGGCAAATCCTATGTGTTTTTGGACCCTGACCCCGCGGATCTGCGTGAGGGGTGGCACCGAATTTCAGAAATGTGGCAAATCCCGTGTGTTTTTGGACCCTGACCACGCGGATCTGCGTGAGGGGCGGCACCGAATTTCAGAAATGTGGCAAATCCCTTGTGTTTTTGGACCCTGACCCCGCGGATCTGCGTAAGGGTGGCA